TATTTAGCTCATTATATTTGCTAAAATAATTGCACTTGCATGTTCTGTGTACTGTGGGAGACCAGATATAGTGAATTTAGTGTCCTTTTAAACACATCGATTACAACAGGTAGATAAGTTGAGTACCTCTGTGGAGAAGACTTCTCAGCAATGCTTCTTTACTAAAATCCTCTTAACAAAAGTGAGTAATATCCTCACATTGTATAGACAAGATAAAAAGAAACATTAAAATAGAATAGCAGAATTTTGGTGAGTATGTGAATGCAGAAAGCCACATAAATGGCATTTCTCTAAATCCCTGTTGGAACCAACCTAGTGGTAAAGTGTGCAAACAACCCTAAAAACTCAAAGCTAAATTTGATTTATGCTGTTATTTCAATTTACCCAGTAAAGAGCCCTAGGTGTAATTGTGGAGATCTTCAAAAAATATTATGGACCCCAAGCTGTGAACAAGGGTAAATGGAAGCTTAAGAAGGGGGGATTTCAAACGCAGGATTATTCCATTATTCCTATACCTTCAATAAACCATGACAATGCCTGAAGACAACAAAAAGTATCCTCATGCTCTGAATATATATTTATATATACCGTATGTATGTATGTATGTATATATATATATATATATATATATATATATATATACAGTATATGTATATATATATATATATATATATATATATACATACATACACAGTGTATATATATATATATATATATATATACACACACATACATGCAGTATGTAGAAATCTATATATACTGTATAAACATACTAAAACACTGAATCTGGTGCAGTGGTGCATGATAACCAATCAGCTTCTAACTTCAGCATGTTCAATTACGTTTTGAAAATGAAACATAGAAGCTGATTGGTTATTGTGCACAGCTGCATCAGGCTCTCTGTACGCCAGTATTCATAAAGCCCCCCAATATGTTATATTTAACATTAGAAATGTATATGTGTAAATTGGTATTATATTGCTCAAAGCTGTTCTCACTGTTAATATCAGGAAAAGTTTTTAACTTAATGGCCATTAAATGTAACAGTTTTCTTCAGTATCTGCTGAAATTTTGTATCTACCCAAAAGCTAGTGCAATGAAAAGTAGCCTCAATCCTTGAGGGCGTCTACAAAGCTGTAACTTTTGGAACCAAGCAGGTGTTACTCAATGAAGGAGTCAGTTTTGACTGTGCTGCCTGGGAGTATTTGTAGCTATCTATAAAATCTGGCCTTTTACCAACCACTGAGGCTGAAAGTTATGCAGACCTGCAGACTGATTAACTATAAAGGCACAAAGTAATTTTTTCCATTTCCCATCTTCAGCTAAACTTGTTTATATTTACCAATAGCTAAATGACTCTAGTAATGATTTTCTATTGAGTGCGCTAATACAATTTATTATTAACCAATGAATACAAATAAAACAAAACCTTAAATGGATCACTGAGCGAACAACCAAAGAAGAAAATGTAGTGACAATCATGAAACCTCACTTTATTTTCCTGAATAATGCCATATTTTCTAAAGTGGGGGTTAGGTTTTCCAGCAAGCATAAAGTGCATTCTAGTATACTTACTGAACTGTGCTATTAATGGATTAGTTATTCATGAACTATTTGTGATAAATCATGGACCATCAGATATAAACTGGTTGAGAAGAACAGTATATAGTCACATTCTACAGTATATAAAGCCAAAACATTTTTTTCCACTTTGGACAGAGTAGGGGGGTTTAAAATTGCTTTCATTTTTTTCCTATCTGTGCCTCATTAGAGAGGTTTATCTTCATATCCTCTCCTGTAGATTCAACATGAAGTGAGAGGATATCTTTTCAATGTGACAGAAATCCAGATTTAGCTGTCGAGCAATAGGTGTCCCTATTGGGATGTTTCCCCTCTGTTCCTGTTGTTCAACTCAAAACTTTGGATTTACCCGTACTTACATTCCCAGCACCATTGGTAAACAGTACAATTAGTGAGAGTGAATCTCCCAAACAGTGACCCTGACTGCAACAGAAATTGGACAGAGGTTCTCACCCCTAATCATTCTATCCAAATCTGAAAAAAAAAGTCTTGCCTTTAGTGATATCATCCTCTGTACACGGGATTAGATGTTATTATTAAAAACCTTTACTTATAGTGCATATAACGTTACCAGCATTAAGACATTAACTGGTACTGGCCAAGATTATGTATCAGATATATATGCTGTTTTAGAATACCACACTCACATGTATATTGACCTCCTGCTCACATGTTTAAAGCCTAACTGTCTTATAGCTTGTTTACTTTAGAAACTAGCCACAGTCTGAGTAAAAAAGCCTGTTCTCTGCCAGCATGCTGTAGAAATTGATCCTTGTTCTTTGTGTGGAAACAGTCATCACTCACAGAGAGAGCAGGAGCTTTTTTGATTGCAGAGACATAGGTGTGAATCAGCAGGGGGCATATTGGACTTTTGCAAAAACAGCACTTCTATACAGTGGGGCCTCAGGAGATGTAATTGACTGGATGGGATGGAGGGATTTCTACATTTTGCCAGGCATCGGGTATCGTTCATTGTGATTGGCATGGATCTACATCACTGGACCATGTGATTAACGATGGATTTACATAGTGGGGCACTTGCTGGGATCAATAAAGGACTTGTTTTTCTTTATTTACTGTTAACTTTTTTTATGTGTGTGAATGGATATGGATACTATGTACTATCCTTTACATAGGTGGGGGGAGGCAGTATCTGGATGCCCCCTTATTGTTAAAGGGGGCATCCAGATTCTGATAAACCACCGCCCGAAGACCCCAACAACCAATGGGCCAGGGTTGTGGGAAAGAGGCCCTTGTCATCATCAATATAAGAACAATGTGCTGGCAAGGTACCCCACCCCCCCATGTTGAAGTCTTGTGGCTTGGTTTGGTTCAGGATTTGTGGTGGCACATGCTCACCCCCCATTTCTTGGCCTGAGAAGCTGCATGCTCAGAAAAGGATCTGGTATGGATTTTTAGGAGGGACCTCACACTTTTTTTTCTTGTTTTTTTTTTAATGGAGTTCCATCTAAAAATTCATACAAGAGTCTCACCTAGTATAAGGATCTCATATGTATTTTTAGGGGGAACACATTTTTTGTGCAGGTTCCCTTATTTACAGCTATGTGGGAAAAAGGTTCTGTTGTATGTATTATTAAAATTGCTGCTCCCTGCCATACAGAATTATTGTTTTTTTTACATGTTCCCCTGGGCAGTACCCAGCCTCCCAATGCAATTTGTTTGACTATCCCTTTCCTATTAGCCTAGAAAATGACTGTTCCTGTTTTTTAACATTCTGCTTCTACTGACTTCACTGGGGTTTGGATTCTGAACCTGAACTTTAATCATACTCTGCAAAACTTGCTTTGAACCGAACATAGATACATTCAGCCAGGGGCGGACTGACAACTCTTGGAGCCCAGGGCAATAGGGGATCATGGGGCCCCTGTGTACTTGCCCAAACTCAAAAAAAGCCTATGAAAAAGGTACCAGGGGCATCTCATGGGACCCCCTACTGACCCTGGGCCCTCGGGCAGTGCCCAGGTTTCCAATGGTCAGTCCGTCCCTGCATTCAGCTCATCTCTAGGTACCACTTTGGCTCTTTGTGTTACCCAAGAAAATCTGAGGACTGAGTGACATCTGAACCTGATTCTGCAACCAGCCTTGATGTGGTCAGGGCATCAGTTTAGACATAATACAGCCCTAACCACAACTAAATGATTACAACCTTTTTGTTTTATTCAATTGTAGTAACAAAAACTAAAGCAAGAATATGTTATTGGAGGATCCGCTCATCTGCTTTATTGTCAAAGTTTAATTTTTACTGTACAAAATAAAAAAAACAAGAGATTATTTCCCTTGTTGCTTGAACTGTAGTTTGCCTTCATACTCCTTTTAAAGCCCACCTCTGAGCAACTATAAAATAAAATTACAGCCCTAATGCAAGGGTCAATTACTCTTTTAGGTCTAGGTGACAAATCAAAGCAGTTTTACTTACCCTATCCTTCACAGCTAGACTGGTCTCTACTGTGTCTTCTCCCATATTCTCCAAACAATTGAAGGTCCTGTTGTCGTTAAGACCAGCACATGGTCCATGGGAGTACTCAGAGGAACAGTATACCGCTAGAGCACAGGGGAGCGCCCTCTGCTGGAGGAGCAGAAAATCAGGTAAGTAAAGACATTTCTCCTCTCCCCTAAACAAAATGAGCAGTTAACACTTGCAGTGCAGGCACAATCTTCCTCTTATAATGTTTTCGATGAAATAAGCACAATTGAAGAGAGTAACAAATGTAGACTTAGGTTTCATGTACACTGGGCATTTAGCCTTGATGTATGAGATCTCATCATTTTGGTGGGGGCAGAAGGCATAGGTGCATTGTCCAGTTCCGTTGCCAGCAGCCTGTAAAACTCTGTGAGAGGCTGAAAACTGCTTAGGTTGGACAAGGATGGTCAGTGCACCAAGTGGTGCTAACATATAGGCAGTATGTGCCCAAGGACGAATGCCACAATATTGCACTTTCTGGACAATATACAAAGCCAACGGTTTGACATAAATTCCTGTTCTTAAATAAAAATAATTTAATAGAGAAAAAAAAATCTGCTCAAAACAAGTCTAAATCAGTAGTGAAGCAAACTTGGTGGCCCAGGTGGTAATACTTTTCTCTTGTGTAATTTGTGTGAACTCTGTAAAATAACAGTCATTAATGTTTTGTACAAAATGGACTGGCTCGGTTTCAAACACATAAAGAATGCTGAAGCAGATAAGAGATATACTGTACATATATTGCAGGATTAAAAAGGAAACAAGGCAGAATAATACCGCCTTACAGTCATACGGAGATGAGGTTTATTACTTGTTGTTTCTGATCTCAGCTCTGATCTTTTATTTCCAGTGCTCTGTGACCTGTGGTGAAGGTATTGAAGTGAGACAAGTTCTATGTCGTTCAGGTGATCAGTGCGATGGAGAGAAACCAGAATCTGTAAGGGAATGCAAGCTAGCCCCTTGTAATGGTATGTATTGCTTTTCACAGTTCAACACTCTCTTTTCAAGAAAACTGAATTAATAAAGTTGGCAAGCAGAATCACAAAGCTTTTAAAGCTAAGAGCTCAGGGTACATTTTTCTTTTAGTTCTAAGGAAGCATTTTTGCTGCTTCTGTAGAACTGAAGCATTCTTGATGTTATTTTTTCCTTTGTCCCTTTGGTTAGGAATAGATGTACATGTGTATTTTACTAAGGTGTTCCAGGTGACAGATAGGAACTAAGACTGCTAGAGTTCAAAAACAAAGTGAGACCGATGACTGCTGCTTAACGCCAGTCTGGTAAGAATTGTACTAAAAACGACAGAACTATAGCATAGGGAAATCTACACTGCTATAAATTAAACCCTCCAAAGATGGAAATGTCATCTAGAGTTAGGGTAGCTTCCACAAATCTTCCACCATGTATGGCACCATGTATGAGACAGATTGACATATCCTGACATGATTAGCATGTCTCAGAGACCCATTGCAATCTATTTCCAGAATTCAGACGTTGTTCATGGTGCCTGTGCACCAAATAGATTATTCCCTTTACTGTGGGCTCTTGCACTTTAGTGTATATGCATATGGCCATACAGAGTGACATATGCCTGTTTTGTCTGCATCTAGGAACCACAGCTACTCTGTAATTTTACCCATACACATATGTTACAGAATAGGCTATATATACAGTATGTAAGTATTACCAAGTGCTGCATATTCTGTAATGCATGTCTATGGATTGAATTACCCAGCAGCTGTGGATGCAGCCAATACACCACAAACCCCTGTCCATGTGCAAGAGCCCTAAGTGAATTTTGATTTTAATCACATACTTAGATTGTATTGTATGTAACCCCAATGTGACCTGATTATTGCAAGTACTGCTCAATTTTATCACATTTATCAGGTCTCTAAACAAACTCCAGGCACATATCAATAAACATACTGTGCTCTAGCTGCGTATTCATCCAACCAATATTAAATTTATTTTAAATAGTGGTAGGTAGCATTATTACAAATGTTATGTCTTTGTATTATCATCTCCTAGATTGTAAGCTCTAATGAGCCGGACCCTCTGTTTCCTCTTGTACCAAATTGTATTGTAACTGTAAAGTCTACCTTCCTTTTTGTAAAGCGCTGCGCAAACTGTTGGTGCTATATAAATCCTGGATTATAATAATAATAATCTACAAATTTACATCACACCAGATTGGGTTTAGGTTTGCCAGCACTGAGCAAATCTTGAATGCTATGACACCACTGTGAAAAAATGTAGCTCCAATACACTGCACAGTACTGTACCTAAGGACATGTATGTTGACTGGCTTTTGTTCCCTTCATGGGGGGTGTTTACATTTCCATATAAGACACCTGTCAATGAATTTTTAATGATCTCAGAGACATCTCAAACTGATGTCAAAGTGGTGTCTTTGACATAAGCCCAAGGGCCATCAATATGGACCCTAATACAGTTAAGGTTCTTGAAGCTGGAGTGGGAGGAGTTAAATAAGATGGTTTGTAGAAGACAGTATATATATGTGTGTGTGGTGTGGGGGGTGTTGGGTGAGGGTGTGAGAGAGGTGTCTTTCTACACCAGTAACTCGCTTTGGTGCATCTCCTGATTTTTTTACTCTGGGTGCCTAAGAGTATCTCCAAAATATTATGCCCCTGTGGGGAATGGGCAGGGGGTTGTACAAATCAAATGAAAAACAGGAGAACAACAGTTGTTTTAGCAAGTTTGTATTACATGCCTACTTAGACATGAATTTCCACTCACATAATGATCACAATCCCCTAACCAGCCTAGCTGACCATATACTGATCTTCAGTCTGGTTACTGACATTCCTATTTTGCTGTGTTGAACATCTGGTTAATAGTGGTTTTGTGACTTCTATTTTGATAAAATGCACTAAGTAATGCAAATGTGACCATTTTACTTAACGTATATGTAAACCCTCACCTTGTAAAACAACCCATTCAGTTTAAAATTAGAAATGAAAGGCAAAACATTTGTGCACAGATATATAAAAAAAAGATAAACACCCTTTTCCCTTTTTTATAAGTGATCACATAACCTCTGTTCTCAGCTGCATAAGGACCTTAAACAGGTGAGGGAGGAGAAACAGCAATACAATGAACTTCCCAGTGAATGGCTGTGCAGGAAGGGGGAGGGGGCATGTCAGGACAAGTCTGATCATTGGAGGAGAGCAGGCTAATTTCCCAGCACAGTTAGAGAACTGACTTTGTTGTGTTTTCCTGCTTAGTGTGGTCGGTTTTTAGTAGGAAAGCAGAGGGACTGGTAGGAACACCGGGGTTTTTAAACAAAGGAAGCAATACAAAGAGAAGAGAATATGTTTTCATACAAGTATATGGCACAGCAGGCACATACTGTACCAGGAATATGAAATGTTAGTTTTACATAGTCTAAATATAAAAAACCTAAAGATAGCACAACATATTTGTCATTGGGCTCTCTTTTCCAAGCAGCTGATAAATGGGTTTTTTTCTGGCTAGTGCTTGAACTTTTGCACAAAGATATGCATATAGGCAGCACGATAACCACAATGTTTTGTTCACAGAGGCTTTTAACAAACTTGTTTTTTTACAGTCTACTTTGCAGATTTTATGTGCGTTTATTCCTACATGGTATACACATTTAAACATGCTAACAGAATTACAAAGACACAAAAACATCAGCTAGCCTGGGCTTAGCTGGAGCATGATCAGATGCGGGAGAGTACATTACACAGCAAACCACACGTGTTAGTAAATTCAGTTGATACATGTTCCAGCCTAAGTGTGCATATCTGTGTGCATTGAAGGCATCTTGAATGTAGGACTTCTTTGTTAACCCCTGACTGACGTCCTGGAGTGTGCAAATACCCTTTAGTATATATTAGTAAGCTGCTTACAACTAAGCCATTATGTCATTGTTTTATTAATGTTTTGCAGTGCCACCACCAGGGGCGGACTGACCATTTGGAAACTCGGGCACTGCCTGAGGGTTGGGGGTCAGTATGGGGCCCCATGAGATGCCCCTGGTACCTTTTTCATAGGCTTTTTTGAGTTTGGGCAAGGACACAGGGGCCCCATGATCCCCTATTGCCCGGGGGCCCCATGAGTTGTCAGTCTGCCCCTGGCCACCACCTTTATTTGTATCTTTCCAGACCATGTTAAAAATTAGACGTCATTGGAGCCTGTTACTTCTGTGCTGTACTTATGATAAACACTAGATGGCAAACTCTTCTCATTATAAAAGCCATCTGTAAATTCATGGCATAGTTGAAGAACGTGAGGATTTCAACTTAGTTTACTACATTGTTCCCAAATATTGTAGAAACCATTGATGTTTATAAGATATAAAGGTGAAGTCTGCCAAAAAATGATACTTAGGCTTTTGTTCACACCTGTGCATTGTGGAAACACATGCAAAATCGAGCGCTTTTCTGCAATGTATAAAAACATGCTGCCCTGACCTATATGTGTACATACCTGTTAGGTGTTGGTCTGTTTTTGCTTCCATCATATTTTTATTGCCCATGAACACTGACGGTAGCATAACTTCTGTTCTCAGGGATCCAAAAATTTAAAGTGTTACTAAACCCACAACAGTAACATCAGTCTGTATATGCAGTAAAGCATGTTTGTTGTAACCTAAGGGGTTAATCCTCTGCATTGTATAAAAAGGTTGTTTGATCCTGTCTTCTCTGATCTTCCCCTTCTTCCACAGTACCCAATCCATCTGCTGAGAGTAGATAGCCTTAGGAGGCACTCTGCACATGCTCAGTTTGGTGTGAATTGCTGGATTTTTTTTTTTTTTGAGAGGGTGCACATGATCAGCACAGGGCCAATCAGCACTGCCCAAACAGAGGGTCAGGGGCCATGCAACCTCATTGGACAGTCAGAGGAGGATGAATGAAAACACCTTCCACAAGCTTTAACCAGTTCTCAGCCAGATACTGATAGAAGTCACAAGACTGCTATACACTGTTGAACAGAAATGGTATTTAGCAGTATATATTTACTAAAATAATTGCATTTCCATGTTCTGTGTACTGTGGAAGACTGGATATAGTGAATGCAGGGTCCTGGGTTTAGCAGCATTTTAAAGTAGCACCTAAACCTAACTAGATGATATTTAGTTTGCTAAAGGACAAATTGCCTTGGTTTTTTTTTATAAAATAGTGTTTTTACTTTTCTATTTTTTTTTTGCATCTCATTGCTGCTGATTTTCTCTAGCCTTTTTCAGTCACTTGCTGTCTACAGGCCCTCTCTCCAATGGCACCTGCATATCATTGCTTTGGACTGGCTTGCTGATCGTGACAATGGTGTACCAAGTGTGTACAATGTTTGTTGGAGCGACCTCCTGTAGTCCTAACCAGGGTGACAATGCCAGGATGGAGAAAGTTGTCACCCTTTAAGAGGAAGTGCCTGAACAACTTTATGGAATTTTGTAACTACTTGTGGACCCCCTACCACAGTTTTACTGTGGCAGAGCACCCCAGTTGTGCCAGAACACCTACATGTACATGATCTGGTATTCCTAGGTAAGGGGTATTGCTTTCACCCACCAACCCTTCTGTACATTTGACCCTTTGATTGCCCCTAGATGTTAACCCCTTCCCAGCCAATGTTATTAGTACAGTGACAGTGTATAATAGTATCAGCACTAATCACTATATTAGTGTCACTGGAGATGTCAGTGCCATTTATTCAGTTCCCATCCAGTCCCACTATAAGTCGCTGATCACCGTCATTACCAGTATAAAAAAAATAAGTAAAAATTCCAGTATATATACTGTATAATATCCAGTTAATATGCACTTGTTAACCAAAGACATGTAGCAGAATACAGGCCTAGTGCATTACCATAAAAAATGTTTAATAAGAAATAAAATAGGTGTTGTATTTCTTAGTAAACATTTTTTATGGTAATGCACTAGGCCTGTGCGCCCTCTCTTTGTTCTTTCCTCATTCAGTATATTTG